GACACAAAAACTCGCTTAATGGATGGTGTGACCCAGCATAAGGATAAATGATCGAGATCTGTGTGGAACAAAAAGGCCCTTATAGTTGTCCAAAAGAATCTCCCTACATGCGTATGGACTTGGCGGACGTGTGACGAGCCACAGGCACACAGACTGATGACCAGTCAGAATCAATGAAACTGTCTCGAATCCAGATTGCCAGCGTGTGACGTATGCATCGGGCATTATCACTTCTCAGCGGGCATTATCAAATGTTACATGGTTAAGTTGCACACTGTTGGGTAGGGAGACTGTCTGTGGTATTTATGAATGGACCCTTTATCACTCTTCAACCCAGCACGCCGATCTGCCAGGCAGGGCTGGCCGGCTCACTGGAATCTCATGCTGCTGTGGATATTCTAATCACTGGCATGGAAGGCATTTCACAATTTTGATGCCAAGCTCAAAAAAGTCAGTCAGTTCTGCTGCTGCTGTTTGTGTGTTTAGCAGCCCCTACAGGTTCAAAAACGGGTTGAATTTATGACAATAAAAGACATATGTTATGATACATGCATGTAGAAGTGCGCCCTCACCGGCAAAGAGGAGAAAGGCTGGTGGGTAGTTCTTTCAACTGAGCTTCACAAGTGCCTGGCACACATGCAAAGATCATATATTCAAACAAAAATTGGTTGCAAGTGCTCAGGATGTCTGGCACCAAACGCACACGAAACTGCACAAGCACTGAGTGAGATCCCACCAAAGGATTATCTTTGCTACGTAAAAATACGCCCTCTCTTGTTCCCGCTCGTAGGGGATGCATCAAGTTGTCAATATTCATGCCTATTTCTTGAAAAGTTTTGCTGGCAACCTACTGTATGAAAAACAGAAGGCTAACACTACCAGGCAACAACATTTCCACAAAACATTTTATCATAAATTTTTGACACATTTTTACATCAATCCAGGTAGTTAATGCACTTTTAAAAACCACTGAAAAAAATTGAAAATAAACATAAACCAATATTTTCAATATTTAAAGTCAGAGTGAGCAGAAAAAAAGGATTCCCCCCCCCAAAAGAAAACCTAAACTCAATTTTTTTAATGGAAAAAGGTTTATAGCATCGGCCCCTCACCATGAAGTGTAGTTGGTTTTCTTAAAAAAACCATCTTTGGTGATTCCAAAGGAGATATTCACGGCTCCGACCTGCACCATTTCAGCCGCAGAGAAGAAGGCATGAGCAATGCTGGCATTTGGCATCTTGATCTGGTCCCTTTTTGTGTCCAGGTTGTACTGATACACCTTTCACAAAACAAAAACAAGGGAAACTAACTGTCAACTTTTATTAAAGAAAATAATCTGAACCCTTACGCTGAGTACTTCCACCAGGCTGGCAACGAACTCTTTCTAAGCAGCTTTGAGCAGGCATTAGTCAGAGACCTCCTGACAACTACTAACATCTTCATGAAAAAAAAAACGCACCAAACCGAATCCCCCCACCAAGAAAAAAAAAGTGGTAACTTGAATAATTAAAAGAAGCCATGCTACAGATGAAGATTATTTGTAAAATTAAAAAAAAGGTCCACTGTAAATGATTTCAGAAGGCCAGCATACAGTGAGAACCTACTTTCACAGAGTTGCCAGGCAGAAAACACTACTTGGAAAATGTCTGTGCCGATCCAAAAAATGTTAAATTCAGCTATCAACAGCTTTAATATAATTTTCAATACAAAAGGAATCATTCACATGAAAATAATTGTTGAAGATGCCATGAACAGCGAAGACACCCGGAGAGTTGCAGCCAATAGCAAAATGAAATGTGAGTGATTATGAAACGAGTGGTAACAAAACAGTTGAACTAGGCCCATTCCAGTGTGGCTGTATTGCACGTGCATATTGTTTAAAAGCAATGGAATGGTGGTCCAAATTATAGTTCACACCCAAACCTGTCCAAGACTGCACGACAGTTTGGCTATTGACTATTAATTTACAGTGCAAGTATTGTCTACGCTCGGCAAATCTCTGCATGATGAACTGTATCAACTTGGCCCAGTGTTTCTGGTACAAGGACGAGCACAAGCTGGGCTAAGTTTGACCAGAAATGACTCACATGGCGTGCATTCTCCATTGTCCGCTCGGTCAAGACATAGGAAACTGGCTTCCACTGTAGATAACTTCCTTCTGGTGAGTTTGGCAGTTTCAGATTTAAAACCTTGTCAGAAAGTAAAAAACAGTGCCAAGAGTTCAGTTAAGACAAACGTTTCTTTTTTATCACAATCTTGAATTTTTTGGGAAAAAAACGAATTGGAATAAAAGCCCTCTGCACATCTTTCCAATTCAGCCAATTCACTATCCTCAGTTGAGGCAATGAATGAAGACAGTTCCATAAGTCATTGCAGTTTACAGACGTATGTGCACCTTGACCACGGAGAGTGAAGCAGCAAAGATGTGCGGTGGGCTTAACCCAAAGAGCTGGGGGGGATTTTCTTCTGCATCATTGCAGTGCATGTTTTCTTATGCTGAGCCTTAGGGCATTTTTCAGTAATGTCTTTCAGATGTTCTGTGAAAATCAAATGTACTATTCTTACACAAAGCCCTTTTTCCCATAACGGGGAAAAATAAAAATTTATTAATAATAATCTGTTCATTTATTGAGCGCAAATTTCATACAGGTATGTTCAAATGCGCTGAGATGCATAGTCGTTCCACAGATAGGCTCAACTGACACACAGGGGCTGACACAGGTCGGCCAGGTAATTCAAATGACCGTGACAACACCAAAGCATACACTGGATTGACTTAAAACTTGGCAGTTGTACTGATAATGAGTGTCCTTACATGCATACAGAGTTTCAGAAAAATCAGGTATGGCAACAATCCCCATCCCCCAGTTGGGAGTTGGTCCAAAAAAAAGGACATCCATCTTAAGATTTGGAGCAGCGTTGTTGCATCCACTGAGAAAAAAATGCTTATATCAGCAACAATACACTACACCATAAACCTGTTCATGCTGCTCTGAAAAATTCAACAACACTCACTGAAAATGTACCAGGGGTGTACTGGTCGTCAATGGTTGTATCTTGCTTCAGCTCCACTCCGCCTGACCCATTACTGCTCCCAACCACCATCATCTCAAGAGCAAAGCGGGTGTTGACATAATTCGACGTCAAATTCTGCATGGTCAGATCTAGCTGAGTGCTGTTTTCTGTGTGTGGAAGGTGTGGCAGTGATGTCAGTCGACCGCTGTCGCTGAATGCCGTCAACTGATGACCGGAAACAAGCAAGAACCATCGATAAAACACCAAATAAACAAGAAGAAAATGACTCATCTCTGACAACTACAATCTTGTGACTTGTCAGGTGCATGTGGTGTCATCACAGAAATGGCATCTCATCGGATGAGTCTTTTTCACATTACCAATAATGTTTATGTAAATTGACAACCTGGGACCTTAATCAGATCAGTCCTTACTACTCAGGTTGAAAGTTTACATACACTCAGACTATAAGTGTATTCCTGGCAATCGTTCCTCTTCTACAATCAGATTATCTACTGTATTTTCAAAAATTATTTTCAGGTTTAAGTCAACAAAGTGGACGTGCTAGCCCATCAGCTATAGCGAAATAATTGATTTCCAAGAATCGGCACTTTGGTAGAAATTGTAATTGAGCATTTTCCGTCCAAGTGCATGTGAACATTTCAACCACAAGTGTGATCATACTGTCTCTTGAAATGCTAAAATAGAATCGATTGTTACACATAATAAACACTTCAAACGAGGTTCAAAATAATGTTACTGGGAAAGGCTTATCCCCCGAGCTAACCAAGGGCATACATGTACAGTGTGACTCACTTTCATGGCTATGGTTCCATAATCTCCCAGCTCTCCCAGCGAAGTGTTGAACATGGCACTAAACTCTGTCTGATTGATGGTGGTGTTTTGCCATTGCAGCCCGTTCAGGACAGTCGGCACCAGGACATCTTTTGATTTCATCATGCCGTCGTCCTCTGTGTCATTGTACTCTATTAACTGCAAGGATCCAAGGAGAGATTTTGCTCGTGTTCATATACTTTGCAATGCTGCTGTAACAAACACAATAGGGTTCATGCAAAATGCTTGCTAAAGCAGTCGTTAGATATGGCAATTTTCAGTCACTGACACAACGATGGATCAGTTCCTGGCTCTGGCCCACATAAGGATTTTGGGCCAACACTTTCAATGCAAAAAAATATATACAATGAAAAAACATGAAAAACCAACAATAAAACAACACCAACAATTCATGCTTTTCTTCAACGCACGTTAATCTTCTCCCATATTCACCTTCTGGGTGTTCTCCACGGAAGTCATATCGCACGATGAAATAAAGTTTCCTATGGGTTTCTGTGCACTATAACCTAAAAATTGCATGTGACAAGCATCATGGTTGCACTGTTTTCCACTGCTTATGTACAACCATGACAGATGTGCCTGAAACCATTCTATAGTACTTGAGTCTCAGCAACATATGAAAAGTTGGCAATCGTTGAAAAAGATCCAAAATTAGCAAAATACAGAACAAAGAGTTCTGTCAGTCAAGTTGCAAACGTTAATCCGTCTGCGCATCTGTGACTGAATTTTCTGTATAGATGAGTTTTCAAAGTAAAAAGCCTTGCTTTTGTAGCAATAACACGCCAGAGTTTTGTACCCGTATGCCTGCACATTTGTAGGTACAGTAGGCCCACTGTACCTACAAACGATATCAGCTGTGCCAAGTGCTCACCATTTTTCTTTCGGGATTAAGATGCTTCTTGGATCTTGAGTCATCATTATCAGTCCTAAATATGTTTTGTTTATCTACAGCATATTTTCGGTGTTGCATAAAAGTGCACAGAAAATTTGTGCCCCAGCCAAGGGGCATGTTCAGTACAACCAATTGGTTGGTATAGCAGTGTACCTTACAGTGGCTTTGTATTATTCTGTAATCCCCCATAGACACACTAGCAGGCAAAAGCATCTACCACCGAATGCAAACCTATGATATCAAGAGTTTGCACTGGGCATTCACTAAAGTTGAACTCATTTTCGCTTTCTTAGAACTGCCATGACTACACTGCGACATAAAATTGGTATTCACGCCCTTTTTCCTGCTAAGTACAAACCAGCCTTTTCACATGATCAAGCGGCTCTGAATCATAAACTGTCTTTAAATCCTTTCTGGTCAATATGAAGGACACAGCACAGTTACTTTGCCAGCTTTCAGTGAAACTCTCCAAAGAGTTCACCACTGGTTGAAATAATTTCTCTTAAGGAGTCAATCGGGTTTTCCTATGAGACAACAAATCTAGACAGGATAAAAATCCCACCAGCTGAGATTAATTCAGAGCACAACAGCTCAACCCTGTTGATACATGTATGGAGGTACTGTACTTCACTGAAACAAACCTGAAATATACTGATGTTATGCTTTGTTGACACGTGCACTTTCCAACGGGGGCTTAATGGGTCATGTCCCATCTCACAGCCCCAGGAAAGCACACCTGTAACACAGCGTGAAATCGTTATGTTAGAGGTCCCTGCAACATGCTTCATGTTGTGCATGAGCTGCTAGAAATAACGAACAGGCTCATTCTATTTGGTCCTTTAAAACAATAAAGTTCCGATATGCACATGGACTATTGAGAGAGAACGTAATGCAGTGAATATGTAAAACCCCATCATCTGATTGGTGGATAACTGATCATGTGACATGAATTACTCATCCCCATACGTGGGCAGCTGTACCGCAAAAACAAAAAAAACAAAAACAAAAAACAGAGCATTCTGTTTTGCAGTCTTTAAATTTCAAATCAATAGTCAATCCAAATCCCTTCCATTATTTGCAAGGTTACACAATCTGAGTTGGCACAGGTTGAAGATGGCTCTTGACACAAAATAGCTGCTACAAGGAATCAGTAGGCAGGAATTTATTCAGGTGATTGAAACATCAGTTCCAGATAAAAATACCTTGGTAAACATCAAAGCTGACGAGTAAAGCACCGAGTCAGCCGGTTTGAATGAGATGGAGCCTGTCGTGGTGTCCTGAAGCAAGGCTGCCCAGTTGACGACAAGTTGAGCCTCGTGGGTCGTTCTTGCCAAGAGGAATGTGGGGGTGCCAATGGAACTCCACAGGAAGTGGACCGTGTCATTGTCTCCTGTCCCGGTGACGTGCACCAAGTTGGGCTGGTTGTCCAAGTGGGAACCCATGCATTCTGGAATGTCGCACTGCTCATTATATGTGATGCTTAGCTGGTGAAATAATACCGTCAAACCTATAACTTATACAACTGAAGTTGAAAAAGTTATACAACTGAAGTTGAAAATGACGCTACTGTCCAGCTGCTCGCTATCCTATTTACATGTGATCCATCAAGAATGGACAGATGGTGGCCTCCAACTTTTGTGAAAACCTTAAACGTTCCTATGAGAATCTGGACATGGATGCACCCTGTTTCTTACACAATAAAGGATGTGAGAGTCTTTTAAATGTGATGAAACATGTATTGAAGCTGTCTGGAGCATTCTCAGGTTGTTGACACATTGCTTACCACTTAGTAATCCATTCTTTTTTTCTTTTTTTTTACAATGGCAGTGGAGATTGGACTCTGAACCTGTCTGGAACTGCTTTTGGTACAGCAAATCTCTAACTAAACATACATATACAGTGAGTGTTTTGGGGGCCTGAGAGCTACAAATCACATAAAAGACAATTCAATATCCTGCAATGTGAAACAATAACAAGGTAAGTTTGGGGATACACAAAAATTATTGAAACGGCCCGTGATGAATCTCAAATCCAGGCTGTCCCCCCTCTCCGAAATCTAGTGCATTTCTTAGCATCTTTGCCATTTTTGGACACTGGAAGCAATTACATTTATGGACAGTCAGGTAAAAGTTCCATGTTTGGACATCACAAATTTTATCCAGTAAAAGGCGAAGAAGCCATCAGAAAGAGATACATGTACAGCTATAAACCAGCCTCACAGGGTTTATGTCTGTGTATGGAAATCTTTCCCCTGCAAGCAATGCCAAGTTGCTTCTGTGGGTTGGAGAACCATGAGATCACTTTCCCTTCTGTCGTCATGTCCAGCCCCTTCGTGGGGGAGGGGTGCATTGCACTAATTCAAATTCAGCTTAGCTCACTGCCATTAAAGGGTCCCCCAACAGCAAACTGTTTGACCAAAAAAATGGAAGGATTGTAAAAATGTAGGCAAGAATCAACTCCCTGGTTTAAGGGCCTCCATTCGAGGGCAGAGTTGATAAAATTATGGATGGAAAATGGTCCTCAGTGCCCGAGAGCAGGGCTTTCAAACTATCCTTTTTGGAAGGGGTGAGTTTGTTTTGCTTGAATCGGCCTAATTGAAAAATTGGCTAATCAACCAAAACATTGACAAGAAATGGAAAAACTTGGGTCAAAATAATAATTCAAATTTTGTTTGAGAAACTTCTGTGATGTCAACCTGCATGTTATTGAGCCCTGAACTTCGTTCATTTTAGAATGTTTTCAATGGGGATTGAAATAGTTTGTGGCATCTCTCAGGCAAGACCAGTCTTTAGTAACCAGGGCCCTTTGTATACTCCTCTGTGGATAGCCTGGCAGATTTCAAAGACAAAAAGTTGCCTGTGTTTCATATATCTCATCACATGGCTTGCTATTGATGGAGGAGTTGACAAAGGGTACCCCCAAAACTGTGGGGTTTGTCGTCCGTTGCGTTCATGTGGGAGTGCAGCGGAGGCCACAGTTATGGGGGACTGTACAGGTATATTTGGGGACCTCATTCCTATAATGGAAGGGGACGGGACGGCTATGTCAGGGCACGCAATACACACTGCTTTGTCAAGCTAGCTGTTTACGCACATTTAAAATGTTGAGAAATATATATGTACTTCAGGGAGTGATAAGATTTTGTGAAGATACAGTTGCGAATTTGTGAGACTATTAAGGTGTCTTATTTCCATGTAATTCTGGGATTTATTTATTGAAAATGGTTGAGCCGATATGTGATTAGTGTGGTTTCCCGACCACTGATTTTCAGACGTCTCTATGCATAATCTTATGAGGACTGGTATCCAAAGCAACATAAACGTTTGTTACGCGAATACGCTATGTCTGTTTTTGTCACGTGACGTACGGCTACAACAGAATGCAGATGTGTGCGGATCGTTGTGGGATGAGAGGCGAGGATGGTAGAAAAAACTCATTTTTTCACAATAATAAAGGTTAAATGCTACAAAATACACTCGAACCCAGTAGTTCGATATAGGCAGAATTTCAATACAAGGGTCTTCAGGTGAAGATTTGCTTATTAAGCGAGCGCAAACGGATGTTTTATCTGGTACAATCATTTGACGTTTACAGGGCAATTTTCAAAATGCCACAGTGTATGGAACCATCAAAAAGATGGCCCCAGTAAGGCCTACGGAGCAGTTATCCCCAGAAATTCTGGGGGGACGCGTCGGACCCCACAGTCTGACCATGGAGGTAGAATTCTACCTCCATGGTCTGACAGTTCCGTGGGTACCGTGGGCATGATCATGATGATGGGTGCGGAGTCATGGGAGTAAGTTACTGTTCAGGAAGGCCTAAAAAACTAGTACCTTTCTGTCAGCGGCAAGACCTTTCGCTAACAAAGCCAAAAGTATGCAGAAAACAAGTGGAGTTCCCCTTTTCACCCAGAGGGCCATCGTCGCACTGCACAGGAAATGACAGGTTTGAATGATTTGGCCGAAACAGTAGAAACAACGTTAGTTCGGTTACATGCCGTTATCCACTGTTCCAACATCGATGGCAATAGTCGTGTTCTTGGCAGTATATCCTGGTTCGGAGACTGTGTTAGAAGTCCAAAAACCAGACGATTTCCTAATCAGCAGTCACGTGCGAAAAGTCCTTGGTACTTGGGTACGACACCTGAACATGTGCGGTAAAGGGGGACCCTCATGGGATGCACAAGCTGTGTATGCCCTAAGGCTATTCTGCCTATTGCAGCCCCTTCGGAATTCTGAAAGGAATTCAAAGATTCAACCAACACAAAAAAGACACGAAGGGGTTCCCCTTTTATCGCATGTCTTGAATCATATCGGTTGGGTAACTGACCATGCTATGCATAATTATTCAGAATCCTTCTGAAGATTCCCCGGCCTCGCGTCACGGGTTTAACCGTGGTTTAACTGCTCCCTATTAAGGGTCACTTAACAGTATCTTCTGGAGGATTTTCGATTGGAAGCAAGCTCTGAGTGGAAAGAGGGGTGGGGCCAAATTAAGAAATCAGTGGGGGGGGGGTTTGGCAAACCAAAATAATTTCGGGTGTTTTTTTGGGGGGGGGGTTAACCCTAGAAGAGCCAGGGCGGAATGAGCAACTCTTTGCAGTACGTCATTTGACGCTAATTTTGCGAAAATTGAATGTTACACTGTTCTTGTGAAGCGCACTTTTTCCGAGACGGGTCAGCCAAAATACTTTTTCCCCTGTGGTGCTCAATGCACGCAGGCTGGCACGCATACATTAACCTTAATGACCGTAACAACAAAACCTTATATATGATTGATTTCAAACCTCAAATTTGTAATGATAAGGAGTGCCTTTACGTGCATGCGAAGTAAAAAAAAATCCAGCGTGGTGCAGCCGAGTTCTTAGGGGTATCCGCACAACGGCTGTGAGATGGGCCAAAATAACCTGGCTCTTTAGGGTTAAATTGAAGGTTTTTCTATGCACCTTGTGGCTTTTATAAGGTAAATTTTGGGACTTCTGTTTAATGCTTTGGGGAGGAAAGGGAATGAAATAGTTGGCCTTTCTTTCTCTTTGTTTGTAAGGTCCCTGAATAAAAAGACTTTTAAATATGAGTAGTCTTAAGTCTGCTAAAAAAAAGTGGCCAAAATGAATGTAAAACATATACAGATCTTGTTTCCTTGACCTCTTTGAAGGTGAGGGCGCTACCCTTTGTGAAGTGGTGGATTGGAGGGGGGCACCAATGTTCGGTCAGTAATAAATAGTGTCCAGTATGTGAGTTCCTTGCTTTATATGCGGGAGATGAGTTAAGTATTTTCAGAGGGCATACCAAGAACAAATTGAACCCACCTACCCCAAAGCATCACTTCTCCCCGTCGTTTCTCGAAAAGCTATCCATCATGCACTGGACATTCTGAACAATTATGCAGTCGTTGTTTCAAAACTGTGTTTGGCATCCCGTTGACACTTTTTTTTTTTTTTTTTTTTTACCGCTGAGCGTCTACTGTCCTTATAGAACCCCGTCCTGTTGGTGGCGTAAACCTGTGCCGGAAATGGGGGGATTGGGGATGATAAAAGGAGGTGGGGAGGGGCTATTGAATCATCCCCTCCCCCACTTTTTGTGCATGTGGTGAGCAAAAAAAGTGAAGCAGATTGGGAAGAATTTTTCAGAATTCCGTCGACTAAAATGCGTTCAAACATCACTCAAAAAAGGACAAAACAATCTGTTGTTAAAAAGCCATAAATATGCCCTACTGAATACATATTACACATGTACATCAATATCATTGACCTACCATGTTCAATACCATTGAACATTGACCTCTATAGAGTCATAATGTCCCCCACCCCGCTTTTTTTTGACGGCCGGGCAAGTCACTCCCTCCCCCTGCTAAGAATCCTGGCTACGCCGCTGCTGGCGAACCATTGTTTCCTGTCAGTGGGTATTTTATCAAGTACACATAGTTTTAAAAGTAGCAACTGGTCAAAAACTAGCCAGTGGTTTATCAGCAGGTGGTTAATACAGATGAAAGTGCCATAGTGCCATGGGCTGGTAGCTCTATGGTAGTGCAGACGGAGTATATCGCATAGTCCAATCATAGAGCAGTGTGACGCACCCTCTTTTTCGTCGATAGATATTTCATGTGGTTGTCTAAAAGTAGACTGTGGTTTATAAAGTAGCTGCAAATGACTAAATGGATACACAAAAAGTGGAAAACATTCTTAACATGCCAACATGCCCCCGCCAAGGCCCACCAATCAGTCTCAAAGAGGTTGGTATGGCTCGAAACCATGCATCGCCCCTCTGTTTACTGTTTTTCGTGGATAGTCTTGGGACTTAAAACTTCCCAAAAGCCCCCCCCCCCGCGGGCCGGCCCACGGGGGGGGGGGCTTTTTATCTACACCGTAGACTTTTTTTCAGTGGTGGTGCCAATTAGCGCAAGAAAAAAGACTAGTGCTGAGTACGTACACGAGCGCATGGGATTTAACGCAGGGCGGAAACATGACATAATTGTGACAGTCTTAAGGGTTTCAATGCATGTCACTAAAAACTGGAAGACGTTTCGTTATTGCATAGCTTTAGATGCTGCTAAATGTCATGTGAGAGCTCCGCTAAGAATCGTGGTAGGTCTACGCAATGCAAAACGTGAACAAACCAAACGTAACTTCACGACCGAAATACCAGGCTCATAATGAGTAAAACTTTTATTAAGTCTTTTGACGGTTTCCCTTCTTTCATGCTTCAAATGCATACAGGCAGTGGCGTACCAAGGATTCGAATTTTGATATCATTCTTTGCTGTGCTATACGGTGCGCAGCTAGCAGAAATAATTTTTGATATTGAGAGTCTTTTACCGTAGGTATATGAAACATTATTGACGCCTTTTGCTGCAAAGCCATAACCTGTCTGCTTGTTCGACTCTGTAAGATGAACAAGCCTAGAGGAAATGACGCAGATGAGGTTGCAATCAAGGCTTCAAGACCAACCTCAAGTTAAACATTTTGAAATTAATATCTTCTCATAATGAAAAAGAAACAAAAAATGAAATAAGAGAGACGAAAGGGATGGAAATCTCAATCTGCTTGAAAACAACCCTCATTAATGACCAACCTAAATTGTTCATAATGTTTGTCACATCGCACTTGTATTTTATCCCCCTTTCCCCGAAAAAAAAATAATGTTAAAAACATTGCGTGAGCTTGGCTATCCTAGCTCATCAAGCCAGCGATCACAGTGGTGATTAAAATTCTACTTTTTCACACAGGCCAAAGAAATAACTTGACCATCAGAGGAAGACGAATCCCCCCAATACTGTCAAATCCATCAGTCTATCACCTCTGAAGTATCAACTGTCGGAACTAAATACAGATATTTATTTGTTGTAGTAGGCCTACGGGCACCATCGTTTCGTGTTCTCGTGCGCTCGCTGTGACTGGTTCAGTCAGCATTAGTCTCTTTTCAAGCGCGAATAAGCGCCACCAACGCGAAAAACCCTAGGCTACGGTGTAAATAAAAAAATATGCGACCCGCCGCGCCTTTATAATTTTTATAAGCAAGATTAACTCTACAGAGGGCGCCCTTTACATCTGCCAGGCGCAACAAGCAGAAAACGGGGAATTTTTGCTTTACCTTCGAAGTTCGAATAAAAACCTCCCAGCCAACAGTTCAATCATGTCAAAGGCTGCTGCAAAAGAATTTGCTGATGCTGCTATTGTTGGCAACAAGGTAAGTAATGTGAGCGTTGTTGGAAGTAAATCAGTTCTTTTTAATTTTAATGTTTGCAGCAGTACCGCATACAGTCTTCAGCTGATCGTTCGGCCTCAGCCGAGTTCGACCATGACAAAGCATGACATTGCAATATTATTTGCCGAGTCACGTCGACGCCCCAACGTTTTCGCTGCTCCAAGAGCCCCACTGCATGCTCAATTCGTCCATGCTTCGAATATCCAGAAAAGTTTTATACAGGCCTAGACAGGGTGCAATGCAATAAAAATGACCTTAGTAAAGTGGTATCAGTTTTGAAAGGGGTTGTAATACAATTACATGTACATGTATTTTAGGACAGGCTCATGATAAAATTGCTGTGTGATAACTGACATCACTGCATTCCATTGATTTTGCTCTTTCCACTTCACTCCTTTGCTCTGTTATTGGAATCAAATATTGTTTCACTCGCCATGTACCTTTTTTCTTGTAGGCCTAATCTCAGTTCTCATTAAGTGTTTCTTTCCAACCAAATTTCATGTCCAATGGTCCAACTGTATCAACAAAGAAGTTGGGCATATCCCATTTTGGCACTGGATATAACAATCACCTGACAACGTATTCTTTTGTTTTACATAGGCGAGCATAACGCAACCCTATGCATATGCACTACTCTACTTTCTTGCTTGTGATTGGCCCTTAAATTTTCCCTAAGGGTGGGAGATTTTTGGCCACTTCCTTATGTCTCAGTTGGAGCCACCAGCGGAAGGGAGGGATGGGGGAAAAAATAACAAATGCATTCATTTTTGTATGGTCAAATAGTGTTCATTTGTTTACTGAAACCTTACCACAGTTTGTAGGACAGAGAGCCCAGAGTAGTAAGTTGGTGTAAGATGTTTTTTGTACCGTTTTTCCCTAGGTGGTTGTCTTTTCCAAATCTTACTGTCCATTCTGTAAGAAGGCCAAGGCTGCTCTGAGGGATGCCGGCTTGACAGATTTCAAGGTCATTGAACTGGAAGACATGGACAACATGGATGCAATCCAGGACTACATGCTGGAGTTGACCAAAGGAAGGAGCGTAAGTTCAGTGTGAAGAGTCGACGTTTGTGGATGCAGGGTGGGATTCAGAAGGATTTTTCTTATGCTTCGCAGGATTAAGAATAAGCTGGGCAATGCAGGGGGTTAAGAGATGGGCCATTTTGCAAATTTGGGGTCTAATTGGTTTTCTCATCTCCATATTATGTGGGGTAGGATTTGGTAAGTTCAGAACATAATCTTTAATAATGTCCAAGAGTGAGCAAGTATGGTAAATTACCTGCCATAACAGCTAAAAACAATAACTTCGAAGTCAATTTCACTGATATATGTACATGTATATCCCTTGTCAAATTACATTGGTCAGGTTTAACAAGGACAGAAGAAAAAAGTTACCATGTTGGACCCCACATTTATAGAGACCCAGATTTCCTCTGAGAGTACTGAATTTTCCATTTTAATACATCTCTACACAACTGAGGGGTTTCAGGTAAAACCAAAATGGGGAGGGGATTAGTTTAGGTAAGACTTTGCCTGCTAATGGTAAGTTATAGTTGAAATAAAGATCGAATGCCTACAATTTATGAATGTGAGGCAGTGGAACCAAACCAAATGCTGGTTTCATTTTTGTTCTTGGTGTTGAGGGGGGACATTTTCTTCTTGGATACCAACCACACGCATTGTCTTTTTTGTGTTACAGGTGCCGCGTGTCTTCATTGGAGGGAAGTTTGTTGGGGGAGGGGACGATGTGGCCAAACTGCAGTCCCAAGGCAAACTGAAGCCTATGCTTCAAAAAGTTGGAGCACTGTAAGCAGCATTCGTGCCTCCCATGAAAACCAAGAAGAACGACTCCTCAGTAGCAGAGGGAACACCTGTTCAGATCATGTTGTTTTTTTAATTCCCGGTCATTTTAATAAAGATCATCTTCAACCAAGATTGCCTTTGCTGGAGCATTTCTTTCACAAACCCAACGCAGTCTTCTATTGAACCTGCTGTGATCCTGTAACTTCCCTCATTACAATGGGCCATTCTTGATGGGTGTTTTTGGTTTTTCCAGGGAAGGTTGGGGGGGAAAGAATGGCATTGCTGATCACTCTTATCAATCTGATCAATATCAATGATTTACTCTCACTAAATACCAAATTTTCACCCCTGAAACGGCTGGTGAGTTCAAATCCTCAGACTCTCTCACTGAAACATTCCACCTCAACCACCATTCTTCCTCTTTTTTGAGGAATAATCCTGTTACAGTTACTGCTTGAACGTTTTGTTGGTTGCACCGCTAACGCAGCCATATTACTAAGAGCGCACCACAAACTGACTTATCTTGTGCACTAAGCCTGTTTACACGATGTCGCTAAAGTGATGTGTATGAATATAAAGACGAGTCAGTTCGTGACAGACCAGCTTCTTCCTAGAACTTCCCTCTTTTATGGGAAGAACACCCAATCGTGTTGCAGCTGGTAGGCCATGTTGTGTTTACCTCGTGTTCTTGATCAGTTTATTCCACCGTGGAATGCTTTGGGATTGCAGAAATTGGCAAATTCAAAGACTCCTTTTCAAGCTGTTGGAAAACAGGAAAGCATGCACAGGCATCTTAAGACCACAGTCTTGACGTTTATGTATGATCAAGCAGTAAACAGACTCATCCAGGTACAATTCCCTGTCGGAATGTCAAAAGCCATTGCCAGACCTGAACCAGTCATTTGTGTTGCAAAATGTAAACCAGTCGTAAACAATGATGAAAGAGATTCAACTATTGTCACAATTTTAATTTGTGCATTTGTAAATGAAGCACTTTTGTATCCCCTTAAGGGTCTGACATTCCTGACGGAAGTACCTGTTGGAATTGAAGAACGACGCTGAAAGAAAACAGGTGTTTCTGATAGTTAATTTTTGTGTCAAATATAAAGTCTTTCTTAAGTTTAGATATTGTTTTAAGTAAATAATGTAAACACCACAAATAGTTCATTGCTTATATTGAGAATTTACTCATCCTATTTTCGTAAACGTGGCACATATCCTCCTAAAGAATAAATCACCGATTACAGACTTATCCTCTTCGAAATAAAAAAAAAGAAATTGCTTAAATCTTTCAGTGCCGTTTACTTGAAGCCTGTTGTGTACACGTATCTGATGGATTAAAAAGAGGGCTTTCTAGCCGGAGAGGGCATTAGACAGAGCGGCTTGAGCAGAGACTACACATGCAGCATTCAAAGTAGTCCTTTGTGGTGCAAAATCTGCAGTCAAACCAGTCTCCAACTCTACTCCCATCCCATTTGTTACATGGTTTCGGTGTTTAACTACCTGCCAGGTCACTGACCCTAAGGCAAAAGCCCTGGTTAAAGAGGTGGAGATGAGGTGAACATGGGGTTCCCTAGACAAGAGCTGATTGTAAACCTTTTTTTAGTGAAATTTACATAGATTCCTAATTTTACCCTTTCCTGTTGTGCGAGTGCTGTGGGTGGCGACAGACAAGGGGAGATTATTTTTTGGGGGGGGCTGTGGCAAAGCAGTCATCAGCAGTGAACTTCCAGTCCTTTAAAAAATGAAGGGGAGGGTCATTTCAAAATATTTCTCGTCTTTTTCACTTCAATTAAATACATGTATCACTTGACTGCAAGTTTTACTTAAAACCGCGTAGCTGGTACTTGTACGTGTAATAGAAATAATAGAGCAGGTGAAAAACTGTAAAAAAAAAAACCAACCGCCAATTGGCGGTTTCACATTCTGCGATTGCCAAAGAATCAAAGATCCCCCATTTGTTTTATTGTGACAGACAGGTTGAAAGAAAAACAGATTTCTAAGCCGTGTGTTAGGGCTACAAGCATTTTCTCCAAGATGGCTTTACCATTTTCAGTAATGCATTTTTGCATCCAGCAATGAGCCGAGTTCATTGCAGGTTGTCTCAACCGTTCTTATCCCCTGTCCACTACCCTCTCTTCCTACGCACTTGTACTGACTTGCCTCAGCACATCTCCCAAGCTTTGTACAGGAAAGTCAACTTAGGAGTGTGGACTCAAATCCCCGAGCAATTGTTTCCTAAATCATGTCACCCGTGACATGTCCTTAGTAGTGATTCTGTACCAATGGACAGTTCAACCATTTTTTAACTGTTCAGGCCAGTTAATGCCAGAGGCGGGGCGAATTTGACATAATGAAAGATTTGCAGCAAAATTTCACGGAGTTGAAAGGTGCTGTTTTTGTGAATTCGCAAGGTGTTCGCTTTCGAGCAAAGTGTGAACCGGTCTTGAGAGGACAGGGTGAAATTTTGACATGTCATCTGATCTGATCTGTTACGAGTTCCACGTACATGTATATACTTTATTCCAGTGTCGCAAAGCTGCTGTGGTATGCAGACATATATCCATTTGGATAAACATTCAGGAAAAAAGATGACCCTATGTAACAGTTCCAATCTCACATTTTGGCTGTCGGTTGGGCACAGCACATGCCCTCGCCTTTGCCATTGGATGGGCATGTAAGGACTGCGGTTTTCTTTCTAACCTTTCCAAGAGTCCACTAGGATCTTATCCTCACTCCTACAACATAATCAGTATCTTACCTTATCAGATGGAAATAACACCAAACTGTGGAGAATAACGGCAGATCACAAGGTAATAGAGAAAGTGTGGGTACCGGTATCACTGCTCTAGACTTGAAGAGCACCAGCTATAAACGTATAAAATGAAAATCACAAAAACAGACATGAACATTCAGACAATCGGCATCACCCCCACATGTTACATACAAATGTTTTTCTTTATTTCTCAAACTCATCTGGAGCTCCTTTTTTATTTTACAGAACAATTCACAAGGTTTTTCACAATCTGTGATGAAATATTTACAGTTTTTTAAACGGTCTATCTCCTAGTATTTTCTTATTACAGGAACAGAACCAAAGTTTTTCGGTCAACCCATCCGTATTTAAAAGATGTGTGATGCATCTAGCTTCTTCGCAAGGTACACCAAGAAGAAATTCTCCTCGCTCATTACCAAACACCCGGTACAGTGAAGTCAAAAGGAACTGTCAAAATGTCTGATTTAAGTTCCACCTTGACATGAAAACATGATGGATATATATGTTTTTTCTAATTGTAAATATTTTCCCCCACAAAACATTAAATAGTGATAACAAACTCAAAAACACACAACAGGCTAGTAAAAAAGCCTCCATCGGAAATACAAAATATTAAACAATTTCTGCGTTGGTTCAGTCAAAAAATAATAAAAACAAAACCAAAACGAACAAGGAACAGACAAAACCGAACTCACAACCCATTCGACCTTATTATTTTTGGATTAACAGATTTTAAAGTATATTTTTTGGTAAACAGAATCAAGCAACAGAAATACTGCACACAAAGACAGATATGAACTCTTCTTAATACTTGTATGACGGGCACATGAATTTCAATGCACGACAAATAGCTGATGTAGTGTGTTCCAAAAGTTTGTTACCATTCTACCACAAACCCAACCACGGGTAGCAATATTAACACAATGTCTCATTTCTTCATTCGAATACCACAGGACTTGAATTGAGGTTATTTCATTGAAGACTGGAAATTTAGCCTGATGTAATGACACCACTGAGAGGAAAGAATCGGCCCATAGTTTAAGGCCGTTTTCCAATATTCAACTTCGTCTCCGTCTCGGGCTTCGTCCCCAAAACCGATCCCTAATTGTGGGCCTGAGGCGTTAAAATAAAATTGGATTTCTGTAATTTTTGGTTCTCTTGCATCTTATTTGATGTTTTGTGGCACTATTAGACTTATTACTGCGCTTACAGCTTCAAAGTCAGGTAGTAAAAAAAACAGCTGAAGCCTGAGACAGAGCTGAAGTTGAGTATTGGAAAACGGCCTATGAAATAAAATTCAAAGCGGGTAAACTAGATAGGTTTGCGGTAGCACTTTGGATATACATCTTTTTGAGCATGTGGGGTTCTGAAAAGAACCAGTGGTACTCAACGTCTCAGACAATATACTCTACGACGGACAGACAATATTGTCTGAAACACTGAGTGCCACCAGTTCTTTTCAGAACCCCACATGCTCTAAAAGAGATATTATCCATGGTGCTACCGCAAACCTATCTAGATTACATACTACCTCCACTATGAAAAGTTTCAAATCTCAAAAATTCAAAGTGCTCCTCAGTTGAACGCAGTATATGCATGTAGCACAGGACCTACAGTTTGAAAGATTTCAGTGCCAGTTTTGTTTGAACACAAGAACCAACTGGCGAAACAGCCAATCAAACAGAACAGTAAATGACATTCAGTCTAGCAACAAGAGTCTTGGACCAAGTCTCTCAATGGAGGACATGAGAAAAATGAATTCAAACCTCAGTTTTTGTTGCTGCTTAATAGACCTAAAACAATGACATCACACTTTGTTTAAATATACACTTTCCTATGGGACTCTGTGGATCATGTCTCATCCCAATGCCATAGGGAAGTGCACCTGCAAAGAAAGCATGACGTCATTATTACAGGTCTATTGTGTAACACCTGATCGTGTTTTGGCTATATGACAAACTCATTGTGATGTAATGAAATAATTTTGGGTATATCTTTTCAGACTACCAATCAAGTCATCGGCTATCGTATATTATCGCAAGCCATCATAAGTCACACAGGTCATCACAAATCATCATGACAATCCCTAGCCTGTTCCATTCGGTGCCAGTAATGTTAAATGAAACATGGAAAAAGCCACGCCTCTGTTCCTTTCCATACTTCTGGCCTGAAAGGTGATTGGACCAGGGATTGATCGGCAAAACAAAGCTGTATTCAATATAGAGCATGGCACGTAAAGCATGGGGAATGCGGAAGTGCTGTTTCTCATCTGCATGCCCTGTGGCCACAGCTTAAAACTGGAGACTGGAGTTCTACAAATTCCAAGAAACCAATACACTGCTGCATGTATTCTTCGCACGAAAGTGACAAATTTTGAAGTGTGACTTCAAAATACAAAGCGGAGTACCTTTGCGAGTAAAAATTGATGTGGCTGGTGGCGGTCGATGGGTAATACTATCAAAAAATAAGGAGTTCTGTGTCCCTGCCTGAAAAGTTTCCGAATGAAAGAAAAACAACTCCTGGTTAGTCTACCTAAAGTTTGAACTGAGAGAATTTCTTGTCTGCCGATTCCCTTGACATAATGCACCGCACACAAAGAGGAAAAAATATATATCATATACATATTATGTCATGATAGTTATACAGTGAAGTTGGCAGTACAAAACTTCAATAAGTCTTTACAGAGAATGTAGCCATGTCAAATTTTGTACATCAGAGTTTTACAGTGGTAAAGAAGCAACAGGTATTCCTCTTCAGGGTGATGCGCATCTCTGCTCAAGACTTCCCTGAAAGTGGTTGTGAGAATGTCAGTGCTGTGCAGAGTAGTCCTGGACACAAGAGCCAAGATGCACGGCTGTGGTATAGACCTTTCTTGAGCCTGCAAACATCAAGCCCCCAGTGTAACTAAACAGCTAAAGTAGGAAGAAAGTTAACCACAGCTGACGGTAAAACTGTTGCCCAAAGTGATCCATTTCTGCCCTCGTCATTTGAGGTGGTGTTGATTTATGAGTTTTTGGCGGCATCTGATGACCTTTTACAGATTTCTCAGATGTAACACGGGTGTTAAAAACAATTTTTGATACTCTACCATCGACTGTTTTTCCAGCCTTTAGATTGGCAGGCTGTTCCTTTGATGCAACATAAGAAAGATCTGTGAGTACAGCAGGAAAGTGCTTTCAAAAGTGCACACATACACATACAACTTTTGTAGACAGTTCATATTAATGAGACCCCCAGTGTTGAAGACGCCCTTGTGTGTAGCACAGCTGAAAAGGTTTTTCTCCCTCCATTTTTATCAGCAAAAAAGATGGCTGTTGAGGGACACGCTGTAAAATACTCTCCATTATATCTAGGGCCATCGCTAGGAATTAATTTCTCTTGGAACAAATCTGCATAATTCTGCTTGGATCAGAAATATTTCCCAAAGGTGAATTTTCCTTAAAATATAAAAATCTCTTTAAATCATGCTGGTAGTACTTTGCAATCCTCCTTGCAATTATGTGTCAAGTTCCCTGGCTCTCCTATTCCTCTTTCATTATTCATTTCACATCACACCAAGATGACATCAACGTTGCATCTCAGCTGAACAAAATCATTTCACTGCAAATTATCCACATCAAAAAAGCAGGTCTCACGAGGTAAACGAACCCCCCCGCCCAAAAAACTTGCTCTTCGACCTGCCCTGCCAAAACTACGAAGGCACCATACTTCCATCTGTCAATAGGCAGATACACTTTTTACGATGGGAGCCTTTTTTTATTCTGTTAAACAGTTTAATAAATTAGAGCCTTTCACAACAAGACAGACCAGTCGAATGGGCTCAGGGGCTATAAAGACAATTCCCACAACCCCCAACGCGACTCTTCCGCCGAGTGGATTCCACAGCTACAAGAACATCCGTCCCTATTGATGTGTCTCCACAGAGGGTCTTGATGACTGTTTTCTCTGGATGTTGCGGCACTAGTAGATGACCTCGTAGACGGTGGCCTTCTTGTCCCCTGATCCAGTGACAATGAACTTGTCGTCTGCTGATATGTCACAGCTTAAAACCGATGACGACTCTTTGGACTGGAAAATTGAGAAGAGATAAGACATTAAAAAAATTGGTTTTAAGGACCAGTTGCAATGATGGGATGGTGTAACCACACCCTTCAAGATTGGTAAAACAAACAGACCAACAAACAAGCCATTCCTGACTGATTATAAGTTAACTTGCCCCAATCAAGATTTTTGAAAAAATCGAACATTTTGATTAAGTTTATGTAAAAATCAGACATTTCTCTTTTTCCGCCTTTCACCAAGACCAGCACCCTCCATGTTGCAGAGGACACAGCGATAGCGAAATTAATCAGATGCAACTTTCAACTACATCTGGGGAGTGTCTCACTTTGTTGAGGTTTAATAACTGACTATGGAGATCTATGAAAGGATTGCGAATGTTTGCAACACCCGTAGAAGTACAATGCAGCCTAGCATTTCTCTGAAGAGCTCATGATCATGATGCATGTGTTTTCAGCCCAAAAATTAAAGTAAGGCTGATACAATCAGACTGAGGTAAATTCCTGTGGAATACCAAAATCCAACACACTGGCAGATAACATTTTCCAATGTCTAGCTTGCCCTGAATTTAGAACTAGCATGAATTTCTTCTCATTTTGTGGTGGCAAGTCAAATCAGCTAAAGACGATTCAATGATTCAAGATGACCACCAACTGGCAGCGGTTTCATCCATAATTACTGGCCAGCAGAACCCACGTTTGGGTTCCTCGGCCAAAAGAAAGGTACAGAACTAGAAAACTGAAAAAAAGAGAGGAAATTCCAAATGACACAGGACTGCGACCCTGTGGAAAAACAATTAAGGCATACTTAAGTTGAAAAAAACCAAAAAAAAAAAAACCAAACTGATCCTGATGAACAGTTTCATGCCTGAAAAGGTACAGGCCCCCCAAATTTTGGTATTCATCAGACTGTGTACCTGGAAGATGCTGGCTCCATAGGGTGTCCGCCACGCATTGAGGAGGTTGTCTTTACCCGTTGAAACAAACCACTTGCCGCAATGGGCAAACTTGAGCGACAGCACGCAGCTCTCGTGCAGGTGCAACTGGTACTTGTCCGGTTTGCTGTTGTGTAGTACCTCGACATTGCTGCTCTCCATGCTGCAGAGAAGAGAGAGGATACAACCAAAACAATATCCACTGTTAGTTGCCACTTACTCGGAAAATAAATGTAGGTTAAGTTTTGCTCAGTGTAACACATCAATCACAACCTGAAGGCGGTGTGATTTGGACAGATATTTAGAAGGGTTTTAATTGAAATGGTTTAATTACTCAGAGAAATTGAATTGAATAAAGGGAATCTTTATGATGTGCTTTTTAATTTTGGGAGGAAAAATCTTCTGATTCAGTTTGCACTTGAACCCTAAAAAGAGCCAGTTGTTCCAGAAGCCTAAAAAGAGCCAGTTGTTCCAGAAGCCTAAAAAGAGCCAGTTGTTCCAGAAGCCTAAAAAGAGCCAGTTGTTCCAGAACCCTAAAAAGAGCCAGTTGTTCCAGAACCCTAAAAAGAGCCAGTTGTTCCAGAACCCTAAAAAGAGCCAGTGGAAAACTCTTGAAGGGATCACCACAATTAACCACTCCCTGCTGGGGATTCTGGATCCGGGCACCCATGCGTTATATGCGTGGTCGGGGTCTCCGAACTCAGAAAAAGGGAACAGGGCCTTGTAACAAAAGACCGTATGGGGAACAAAAGACCAGGCTGCTGGGAATTACCGACATTTTTTCACTCTCAAAAGTGGAGATAATCCAGGCTTATTTTGAAACAGTATACCACGGTTTGGGGCATTTAGGGCGAGCAGATTACCACCGGGGACAAAGCACTCCACCACCGCAGCCATGAGCCACACAGCACTGCTGCATGCTTATCTGGCCCCTACTGAAAAGAGGTCAGCAGCACACTGAGCCAGGTTCGTGAACAAAAGAAAGTTATACAACTCTGCACAATCTGGGCTCTTTTTACATGGCTGCAGGCCTGTCTGAAATACTCAGACGTCAATAGATTTTGTCTGTCAGGCTAGAGTGGACACCAGACAGTCCTTCACGTGTTTGTAAGTGTCCAGTAAATGAAGATAGGAATTTTTAAAGAATTTTGAAAACGGAAAAAAATGATAACTATATCCCGGCCCAGCATCATCAACATTGGTAACTACCCCAGTAGGAAGTGGTTAAACATTTAATGTAACGAAAGGATGGACCCGAACATGTGTATCATACATATGTTCGGGTCCGCCCCCAGCTCTTTTCGGGTTAGAAAAGGGTTAATGATTAGGGCCCACAGAACTGAGCAGGTCACTTTGCTCGATACTTTCTGGAGCACTATAAATAATCCATTATGACGTTGTGTTATGAGTAGGATCACGCAAAAATCCCACAGGATGGGATGAAGGAAGTACACAAGAACACGTTTGAGTAAGACCTCCCCAAGTTTGCTTAACCCCTGGTATTTTAGAAGACTTCATCACCAATCCCCACTCGCTCCGGTCTTATCCCAAGTTGGTCTACCCCAATTACGGCTGGAGCTTTTACTGCATTACACGGGAACTGCTTAGACCAGTCACCTAATTCCAAGCGACGCTGGGATTACACCAGACCCCCCACAGACAGGAAGTCGCCAATTATCAGGCGGCAGGCGGTCTGGTGACCCCCAAATGCTCTGACGAAACCAACCACCATTGCTTGTGGCTGCTGTTGATGAGTGACTAGGGGGTGGGGGTTTGGTGATCATGTGGTGGGGGGAAGGCGGGGATAAAAGGGAGGATTAGGCTAAATGAACAGGAACAAAGTGCCGTGCTTGGCCGTGTATAAACCGTCACTCATCACAACGACAACTTTGGTCTAATCAGTTCTGCTCCGCACGGCATGCTAGGCATCAGCTATTTACACTTTCACACGCAAGCCACTGGGTCACTCATCCGAGAGAAATGACTATCCATCTTTGCCAACCATCTTTTCAGACCTTTTTTAGCTTGACTGTCAAACCATATAAGGATTACTTAGTGTTTGGGAAACACTGCAAGCTTGGACTGTGAATGTCGCTCCACAGATTAGGGCTGAGGTTTGGTGGTTCTATTACTCATCGGGGCTTGAGGCGGATGCATCTGTTCTTTCAAGTTCTGATCAGTTTTCCAGACAGCCTGTGGCTTACCAGGGCTGCATCTGCATCACCTGCATCTCTTGGCTTTGAGCTACAAACACTGGCAAAAAACCCACCACCATATGCTTGGGTTAGGCCTAGACACCATCTGGTCAAAATTATCATCGACAACATGCAAAGTGTCAAGATGCAGACAGTCAAGGTGTGTGATGTCATTTGGCTAGAAATGGACAACAAAATGACCTCTGAAACTCTGAAATCTTTGTAGGAAATGACTTCCGTAAGCAAACCTGGTATTTGCAGTGTTAATGTTGTCCCTCCGCTTGAGGTCAACAATACTTTCCGAGCAACTCTGCACCTAAGTGGTCTCTCATGGTTTGTCTTGACAAGCGGCACACCAAGACAAATTCAGAATGTACAGGTAAAATGTAATGACTTACCCGACAGCTAACCAGTCCCCGGCAGGGCAGTAACCGAGGGAGAAGATCTGAGATGTAAAATCATGCTGCTGTAACTGCCGCCCCTGTTGAAAAAAAAAAATTTTTTTAAATGGTTGAACTTGGTCTAAAATTTGAATGTCTCTCTATACACATCAATACATTGCATATTTGATTCCTCCCTGAAATGAATTTACTGTATCCCACCAAACTGACACAGTTGCACCTGTTTCAGCCAAGTACCTTTCAGGTGCAGTGAGAAAAGTAAAACAGAGCCATTAGTACAAAGTGCATGACAATACTTGTCTAAGAATTTTGGTAAAAATGTGCGGGAACTTTTCAATGGAAACACTATTAGGATTGTAAGTGAGGATGCTAAAATGATTCTTCTGCCGGCAGTATGTGAAACCAATTTTGATGACACAAACAAATGTCAAAGGTTGTTATAAGTTGAAATGTCCTTGCCGTGTCTTGTAATATGCAAATTAACATGAATGGCAAATATTATCTTCCTGTCCCCCTTTTTAAAAAACATATTCTGTGTTTTCTTGTGACTAGACTCATGTATGTATTCAGAACAGGTTCCAAAGTCCAACTAGTTGGAACCGGCCCAACCCAGTTTCACCCAGTCTCCGCCAGTCTGGATGTCACAACGAGGTGTTGACTTTACCAGTCCGGGCAAGATTCACTGGGCACTAACGAAGTCTAACTGCGGAATTCCTTGACTGGATTAACCAGCTGTTCTCACCTCCCTCAGATCCCAGGACCGTATTGTGTTGTCTAGCCCCCCAGTCCACAGCTTGGTGCCGTCGGGCGAAATATCTATACAACTCGCACCATCTGTGTGCCCTTGGAATTGTCTAATTTTGGGAAGGGTAAAAAACACAGGTAGTTGCTCATTTAAACAGCATAACAGCAACTGCTATTCAAACTGAGTAGACAGTGCATCCATGTGACCTGTTTTAAGATACACCTGCAGAAAAAAGTGTCTGCATCGGGACATATTTCCATCTCCCTCTGTGTAACTTCATGACAAATGTTCATTCATCTTCTGTGATGGCCGTCCCAATTTTGTGGCTAGCTCCATGGGCGTGGAGATGCAAATTTGCTCTTATCTCTATTTCTATAGGGAGCAAAGATTTAGAGACAAATTGAGTTTACTGGACAGTCTGGTTCTAACTCTGAGCCACAAATCAAAAACTTCAGTCCCACTTCATAACAAAAACCAATACTCTGTCTCACTCACTGTGTGAGTACTGGGTAATTCTGAACAAATAACTCGGTAGCACAGATTACAACACGTACAAGAAGTAAAAAGAGGTGGCGCCATAATAGTGTGTTTAAGCATTGTGATGTCAAGGTGCATTTCTGCACCACTGTTCACCACAATTGTGGTCAAGCTGTTCTGTCAGAGAAAGCAGCCGTGAACTGACCAGACAGAGTACTGGCTCACCAAGCCTGCCTCCATGAGATTGGACAACCTAATCCTCACCAAGATCCTAGCCCTTAATTCTTCTACTGACTGACACATCAGCACGGGGAACTGGAACTACCAGGGCGCTATCTTGCACTGACCAACATGCACTGTGCACAAATTTAATCTGCACTTCACGTTTGCGTTACTGATATGTGCTACACTGCCCCTTTCTACCCCTGAGAAAAAAAAAAATGAATATGTGCGATTGCAGAGGTGGTTATTGTAGGTTTTCAAAGCCATTTCAAAACCATTTACACCTACAATGCCTGCATTCAAACTGTATACTCCCCAAGGAGTTGAGACGATTTCAGGAATGTTAATAGGCTGGATGAGTGCATTTAGAGTCCAGTTGGCACCGGCGAGTGCTATTTAAAATACTCCATTTTTATTGTGTGCACTGAGTATACCAGCCGTATTGGTGAAAACAAATGTGAAACATCATGGCTTCATCTCTTTGTGTGCGTTGGACATCTAGGAATTTGCTAATGAGCTTCCTGTACCTGACTAGCGACTGGTTGTGTAGGTCCCACACGGCAATGTTACCGTCACTGCAACAACTGAAGCAAACCTTGGAATCAGGGCTGATGGCAAGGGCGTAGCACGCTGGAGCGCTGGACGTCAGTTCGGCTTTTATTCTGGGGGTGGGCTGGAGAAAAAAATAAACAAGTACGACAAGAGATAACTCAAGGACTGCTCTTGAATTGCATGATGCTTGTAAGCCTTGTTTCTTGCAATAAATAACATTTCATGTTCAAGGGTGGGAATATTATGAGCAAGGTTCCTGACCAACTCTTATTCAGTGTTCCTCTATACATCAAAACAACCAAGACTGGGCCGTTTTCCAATACTCAACTTTGTCTCCATCTAAGGCTTCGTGTAGGAAACCAATCCTCAATTGTGGGCCTGAAGCATTTGACTGAAATTGAAGTGCTGTAATGTTTGGCTCTTTTGCATCTTACTTGATGTTTTGTGGCACTCTCAGGCTTACAATTGAGCTTATAACCTCAAAGTCAGCGAGTAAAAAAACAGTTGAAGCCCAATACGGAGCCCAAGTTGAGTATTGGAAAACGGCCCTGGAAGTGTTAATGAGCTTAATGCAGTGTTGTAAAAGAGTCCACTTGCAGCCATAACAAGTCCACCTCAAGCCACTCAACTACTTGTCATATCACGAGCTACTTCCAATATTGCATATTTACTCCAATGCAACTAGACACTGTGATTGAACATGGCATTTGACTCTTAATAGTCTTGTGGCTGACTCAACTTGTTTGGTATTTAGGATTTAGATGATTCCCGGCAAAGTAGGGCAGCTCAGGAACTAAATATTTTTTTTTTCTTTTTTTGGGGGGTGGCTTATTTTTTAATTCTTTCGGGGGAGGGGATGCCTTTTATCGTGAGGGGTGAGGCTTAATTCTGCAGGCTTCCACAGGCTTTTGGAAGGAAAAGAAAAGGAAAAGTCCCCAATAATTGCCCTTTTCTCATCCCCCCCCCAAAAAACGCTGCTCCCGTTTAGAGGCCATGGTCCCTGTTGTCCCTCCCCCTTGACCTATCAATGCTGCCAACTATTAAGTGAAGCCATGCGGCCCTGTAATGATTCATCAACAAATAAGCCCTTCTTAATCCTCCCACACTAATTTTCCTTCACCCCCGGTTCAGATAACTCCAGGTACAAGCTAGAGATGACCCAGTTGGGCCAGACTTGCAAACTCACTGCGGCAAGATCCCAGATGGATAACGTGCTGGCCTCTCCCCCCACGAGCAGTGTGCGCCCGTCTGGCAGCAGTTTACACGACCGGATGTAGTTCTCCCGATTCAGGCAGTCCAGCTGGGACACTGGGCTCTTGGTGCCTGGCTGACTGATGTCCCACACCTTGACGCATCCCTGCATAGGAAAAAAACAGAAGGAAAAAGAAAGCCAAACGTTGTCAGTGGACATGTTCACTCCTTCACAGAAACATGATAAAATATGCTGATATGTAAAAAGAATGTACAACCTTTCATAGTGTTTTAATATGGCCTAATTGACGTCAACAACTGGTGCAGGAGGTGAATAAAATGTAAAGTGACTGGTTAATTCTCTTCCCACCACTCCAAGTGAGAGACTAGAGTTGATACTTCTTTCTGAAGCACCAAGTTTCAGAGTCATTTTTGGCAGTGTGTTTATCCACTGTCAATGAATGTAACTACCATTTTCTTTTGAAATCTTGTTCAGAATGACATGTTGGACTTTATTTTCATGCAACTAAGATGTGTAAATTTGGCCCGAGTTTTTCTTGCAAGTCTGTTAATCTCATCATATTCAGACTTTCAGATAACTAAAAAAAAGAAGAGGAACATCTTCCAGTTAGGTGAAGAAAAAACAAACTGATATTCTTTTGGTGGGTGACTGAAAGCTGGAAAATAGGTAAATTCCTTCCGTTAGCTTTAACTGGAAACTAAAAAGCTGTTGCTTTGGTTCCAAGTTTTTTTCTTCTAAAATTCTGTAGGATTTTGTACAGTTTTCTCTCCAGGGGTATTGGTCACTTTAATCTTATTACGCCACTTTAATTCTGTTCTTGTTTATTAGCCCAGTCCAGTGATTCAATCAATACAACATGGCGACCTTTGGTTTCCTTCAAGGAGGGACTGCTAAATCTGTGCCTTGCCTACCTTGCCGCCAGTGTAGACATGTCTAGTGGGGTTACTGATGGTGACTGCACAGACCACCTCGCCATGGTTCAGGGTGTTGATCTGGCGGGCATGCCTTGGGATGCCAGGACCAATCAGGGCGTCTGGTGGGAAGGGTACCGGTTGCATCTGGCCATCAGCGCTGACATGGAAAGAATAAGCCCTGCAAAGTGGCAATGTATTCAGAGCAATCCGATGAGTTACAATATTACCTCCTTTTACTCCAAACATAAGAGCCAAAACGTTTACTCTAATTCTTCTGTTACAAAATGATACCCATCCCCAAACCAGGCATACCTCAAAACCCCAAAAGTTGGTCATTCTGCCATTACTCAAAGGTAGATTGTAAGTTTGATTAAATAAATAACATATAACAGTAATAAATTATCAACATCTGACTATATACTGTAGCATTTTGGCAGAATTCTCTATTTTTTGTGTCAGCTAAATGGCATTTTTCAGAATCCATGGACTTTTTTTTGTTGCCTTGGGTCTGACTGGGGCAAAACAAATATTTAAATGGCTAAAAAAGGAAACTGTTGAACTTCTTTTTTTCAATGTAACTAAGTGAGAGGTGTACCCACCCTGACTCTTGCTGGACCAAGTGATCGTTTTGTACGAGATTATGAAGTAAGGAAATGCCATGCTTGCTATCACTCTCATGTTAAGTGAGCTGGCTGTGTGTTTGTCTTGAGGATGTCTCCAGTGAAACGTATGTTCTTTGCTATGTACATGTACTTCTGTGTTCAATTTTCAGAAATGTGGGTGTGTCAGTTATAAAACTTTTATGCCCGCACAGACAATTACTTGTGAATGTTCATTTTACATGCATTTTAGATACATGTATGTGAAAATTGGCAAAGTATTCTTGCAGGGAATGGTGTAGGCAAGATAACCATTTCTGGCCTGAATCTGAAGAGCAATTCCATGCAAAAGTAGAAGTTTGGTCATGCTGTTACCAACCTCATTAACATTAAACACAAAGAGGTTTGTTAAAAAAAGATAGCAGAAAGAAGTAGTCTTAGAACTACCAATAATTCCTCTTCCATTCTTCGTAAAACCTTTTTGGTACATGAATTACAATTAATAATGACGTCCGCTACGGTGGGGACCAAACTTCCACTTTCGCTTTAATTACCCTGAAGTGTCTCTCACCAAGGGCAATTTCACATTTTGTCACCACCGTGGGTGGGTGAAGATATATCCTAATACAAGACCCACAGTTAATGATAGTCACTAATGTTGAGAGATAAGACCTCCTCGAAGTATGGCAGTGAATTATGAAAAAATGTAATTCCACACCAAAACCACTACGTGTAGCCAATAACGCCAGTGCATGATTGTTATCACACTTTTCCTCACAGTGACATCAGAGCTCATGTTGCTTCTGCTCACAGCAGTCTCTGAATTTTTATTATTATTATTATTTACACAATTTACTTGACTTCCAAGAGAATACAACCGCTACCTGTGCAGCCATCTCATTTTACAACCAAAAGTATGTCTCTAATGGTTTGGCCAATCACCACATACGTTTCTTAAGACTACTGTGTTTCAGCATAATGTTGCAACAAAATGCACAGGAAATCTCCACCAGACCCCCCTCCCTTTTGGCTTAAGTTGGGAAAGATGTCATTTCCTAACAAGCACAACTGCCGTACCAACATGTGCTATCTAAACCTGTTGCTCCTTGTTATTTTTTTCAGGCAGAAGTCTCTTCTCGAATTAAAAAGGCCTGTTTTGATATCGAGGTCTCCAATTTGTGCTGTCCAAATTAATTCGTTTTTTTTTAAACACAGCTTTCGGGTGCTCAGTAGTTCATTTGCAGACGTCTTGTTGAATTTGGACTGCACCGCAGTCATTCATGTGGGCAACTGATTTACCAATCATCCTGTTCTCATGGTGACTAATATCTGTCACTTGGTATTATCATCTCCACGCAGAAGGCAAATAACAGAGAACCACCTGTTTTGTTCCTCTATCACTTCCAGTGAGAATTCAATATCGGTCACTGAAAGTAAAACTGCTGCTACGCCGACAGGAGAAAGTGGCATGTTTTTCTGAACTATGTGGACATGTTGCAGATCATTTATGTGCAGACAATTCAGATACTGCAAAAATCATTGCTGTGTGCCACTAAAACGTTAGGTTTCCTGTCTCAGAAATGGCAGCTGCCCTCAGAAGTCAGTCAGATTTTTTCATGGGCAGCAAATTTGGACAATGGCCACAGACTGACTTTTAACCGTTTTGAGTTGTGATTATCCCCTCTTTCTTCTTGCATACATTCTGATAGCAAGTGATAGTGACCTCTGACCTCGTGTTCCTGAGCAAGTTATTTTACCCAAACTTGTGCCTTCACTCAGATGTTACTTGGTACCTATGCAGACAGGCTATGGCCCTTGATGCCAAACAATGCACCTAGAAGGCTATTATGTGCAACACTGTTTATATTGCATATCACCTGAGCACTGTGTGATTTCAAACTAGCGTTCTACAGAAATGCCATACAGCAACTTTCAACCAATTGCTTCACATTAAAAATCGACTCTTCATTCTAAGACCAGCAAAAAACAAAATAGTGTGGTTTCAAAAAAATAAAAAACCTCGAATCCATAATACAATTCATATTTTTTTCCTGACAGACCTATGCATTGCAGGTAGAAAATTAAGAGTTCAAGGTTTTAAGAGAGTTTCACCAAGAAAACTGGCAGTGTTTTGTAACACTGCTGACTCACTTTCAAACTTTTGATACAGAATATTTTACAGAAAAAGATTGCACTTTCAAATGCAAAGGAAATCTGAAAGCTTATATCTGGGAGATGTGCAATTAAATGAAAAAAGGAGAAACAACACAAACCCTGCACTAATTACCTCTTATACAGATACATGTAAATCTATATAAAATTTTACGAAATCATAATGTATATAGTTTGAATTTATGAACTCTCAAGAAATTCCCATGTATAATTTAATAGCTTTTTAATGTATTTCCCCTTCACGTAATGGTAGTGTAATTTTTCTTCTAAAACTGTTGGCAATGTTATCTACCATCGGGCACAGCTCAAACTCAGAATATAAAAGCCTTCCAGTCAGAAGGTTCTTTGCCATTTAGAAATGACTTTCATGTATTTCTCTCTCCTCAAGGAAGGCAATCCAAGGGCAGATCTAGGTTTTTTTTTGCAGGGGGGGGATTTTTGAGGGAGGTACTATATATATAAGCATTGTTGAACTCATTTAATCTTTTTGTTTTGTCCTCAACCAAACATGCAAATACACAGTTTATGCTTTTTGGGCACCTTGCAGATGCTGGCCACTAAAAAAAAGTAGGGGGGGACGGAGGGTGATCCCTACTCCCCTTGGATCTGCACCTGCAATCAATCATGTATCTTGGTCTGGGATACCGGAGGAACTGGCACAGGTGGACCACCTGTGCCTAAATTATATTACATTCTTCGCTTTGATGCACTCAATATTACCATGGGTACCACAGAGGACTATAGGCTATTCTTGAAAAATAAAACATTTTCAGGCATTTGAATACATGCAAGTCTGTTGCTGTTTTACTTTCAGAACATCTTTATGTCCAAATGTTGCAAATATACCCCTGTGCCCGATGGCAGACATTGCGTCCCCGAAGAGAGAAAGGCTGCATTGTGCCTACATAATTCTATCCACATCTTGCCTAGAAAAATTGTGAACTGAACTAGCTCACATCATAAACTAATCTGTTTTACGTATCTCATCGAAAAAAAAAATGACATGCATGATTTTCAACGGGAAAATGAGCAACTGGGAGTTAAAAAAGAACTTGAAAATAAAACACTAAATAGAATATTTAGATGTTATATTTAAAAGGCATATATTCTCTCAAATTTATATTTTGGTACAGCAATTAGAAAAAAAATACATCAACAAATGCTGTGAATGCCCAGCAGTTTCAGTTCACCAGTCAGAAAAGCCTCTAAATGAGCTGATGTCCGAGCAAGTTACTGGTCACCGAACGCTTGATTTATATTCTAGAACCCATCCAGCAAAGGCGGATACAGCTAAAGGGTGAATAAGAGGGGCTCTTTGAAATCTCTATCTGCAAAGGAGGTAGCACTTTGTAGGGATACCACTTTGACAGCCACAGCCAACCAGAAGTCCATGGGAACCAACTCTTACAGACCTTGCCACAGCCTGAATATCAAAGGTCACCTGTGGTATTTAAGCATGTGCCATGTCATCCTATCCCAACATGAGCTGGACGTGACATGATACACAAGGCTGCTGATATTTGTGCAGTCTTGGCGTATATCAACATGTATGACCACTCAGCGTATTCACGCTAGGGAATGTTCCATTTACCAAGGTCTTCTGTAGTTGTCTTTGGTCTAACTTGGCAAATTTTCGTCAACTTCACATTTTCTTTCAATGAAATGGTGTGACTCTTCACGTGACTTGACTCAAGTCAAGGCTGGTTTGCTGTCTGTTCTTCTGTCTGCTGCTGGTAAGCACTCTTTTTCAAATGCAACACATCAAGTTAACATTTGGTCTTCATTTTATATCCACTTTTTTTTCTTGGTCATACTGGTCAAAAAAACCACAATGGATTGTAACCCGAAATGGTTTACCTTTAGAGGTGAAGTTATAAGTGCAATTCAGAACAAGCACAAGAAACAAGAACAAAAACTACAGTAAACACAAACAGTAAACACCAACCATTATGTTTTACCAACCGTCCACAAAAGAAGTGGAAACAACCGACCGAATGACAACAGGACCAACAGGATTGGGGAGCTGACTAGGAGAAGGAATGCAAGACCAACTCTGACTTCCTGAGTGACCAACAAACCAGTCAAACAGACAGACAGACTGACAGGCAAACAAACATCACATTCCAAGGTAAGGCCATGCAGAGCTGGGAGGGAAAGAAGAAAATCTGAACTTACCAGCCAGTCGGCAGCAGAGGCCAGACCAAACCAGGGGTGAACTTAAGTGCGTGTGTATGTACGTATGGGTTTGCTTGAACTTCCAGTTTGATTTATGCACAAAAGGATGGCTGAATGAGCTCTTTGAGTTCATTCAAGTCTGAGCTGAGAAAATATGTGTATATGGGTGTGCTGTGTCACATTTTACTTTGGAGACAGAATCTAACATGATCTGGCCTGGCTTTTCTGAAGGCCTGCTAAGGCTAAATGGAACTTACAACGATCAAAGATCTATACTGAACTTGTCTTGAAGCAACTTTTCAGGTCTGTTTGGATTTCGGTTGGCTGAATGACCATCAAAGTTAACATGGTCCTGATAAGAAACTGTGCACTGGCTGACAAAGGCAAAGGGCTCACTTAACTATCTCAACTACCAAAAGATACAACAACAAAAAAAATTCATACCTAGGTGTATGTTATATGCAGGACAGTGACTTATAAAACCACCAAGTATCAATTTGGTTTTTTTGGTACAAATGTCTGTCTTTTCCACAAGGTGTTAGAAAGCTTCATACTTGATCTGCATAGGATGTGTCATTGACTGGTGTCAATGACAAATTCATGGTTAGGCTGAAGTATGCATTTATATATGATCCTGAGATGATTGGGTGCGTATGCGCATGTATGTAGTCTGTGAGTGGTTTGGCATGTGATTCAGAATCAACCCAGTGTGACCCCCATTTGTGACAGCATCTTTTTAATCCTTGCTCAGCCCCTGAAATCTTTCTTTCCCTCTCTCTCTTTCTTTCTCTCGTGTGTGCGTGTGTCTACGTCTACGGTCCTACTGCATGGGGCAGCTGTGTCCCATAGGTGTGACGGTAGGGGGGCCGGGCAGTCGGGGCGCCCTGGCGCTAGATGGAAGATGGCATTGGGTGAACTTACGGCTTGCCTCCCGGTATGCCAGCCAGTCCTGAAATGCGATTGTGCGAATGGGGGTCAAACGGCACCTGTGCATGATTGAACTGCAAAGAAACACAAAGACAGCAAGAAAAAACCAAATGGTGGATTTGGCCCTTTTTTTGGTGGAGGAAGAGGAATACGAAAAACAAGACAAGAACAAAAACTAAAGAAAAAAAGAGAGATACCTTGTTTTTCCCCCCCGAGTCAAAAAGCACTGTGCTACCCACTCCTACAAAATGAGTCATTTACATACATTTTTGCATGAGATCTTAATTTGGTATACTACCAGACTGAAAGATGACGAATGACTCCAAAATTGACAGTAACTTTGACTGCTGAAGTTGTGTTGGCATTAACTCAAAACCTGAGTAACTGATGTCTGACTCATTTCATGGAATAAAGGTCACAGCTGGTTGTGAAAGCATTTTCTTGTTAAGCAGTGTCCCTGCCAATCAAGTTTTCTTTTCGTGATTGAAAACAAAAAAAATCAAGGCAAAACATTCACCAAGTGTCATTTTGGCTTGCATGAGTCACCGGTGCCAATGTTTCTTAACGAAGGGACTCTATGTTGGAGAAACAGTTGCTATGTGCCAAAGTTTTTCATGACGCAATGAGCCAGTTCAGTATTCCAACAGCGCATGCCCAAAATGAAGAGGGTCCAATGTCATTTGGATGTGCGCGCCAGCCCTGCCCCATCAGCGTGACCCTGCGCAAACTTGCACACGTGCTTTGTTCCCCGAATGACCTTGCTTGAAATACCGCACTGGCTCATTTAGGGACACTGAAAACGATTCCTCAATCAGCGGAGCTTTATGACTCTAAACAGACAATAAGTGAAAAACAAGCTGAAAGACAAAGAGAAAGGAAAAGCCCGGCAAACCAATAACGCAAGCAACAGAATGTCACCAACCAACCATGTTTTACTGGGATCAAACTGTGATCATACACCGAGACACTCTGGAGTGAATTGAATTAAAGCAGATTGTGTGAAATTACTGAGCATGAAGGCACAATCTGAGAATCTTGGTCCTTTTTTTCCCCCACATGTCTGCAAAACCAGATACCAAATTTGGTGTATGCTTTGAAGTTGGATAGCTCAGATTGCTGCTTGTGATCAACTATCGATTCATGAGAGGAGAGTTTGTCCCAACCTCAGCAAAAAATGACCAAATCCATTGAAGCAAATGAAAAGAAGCTGCAATCCATTGACAATCAATCGCACAGAAATGAAGACTCGACAACAACCACACCAGCATGCACAGAACAAAGAATTTCATCTGGTGTACACTTAGAAAAAGAAGAAAGATTGCTCTGACAAAATTTGTTGGCCCAAAAAATTTGGACGGCCACTAGAATTTCTGTTGCAGATTGCCGAGAGCAAGTAAAGTGCACACAGTGAGACCGGGAGACAAGGAGGAGATTGCAGAACAGACAAGGAAAAAAAAAATAAAAATCAGTGAACTCCTAGGCATGGCTTTCAACGGCACAGCCGTAAAAATACTTTTTTTTTTTAACCTCCAAGTTTCAACTTTTGCAATTCAGTAGAAATTTCCTCCCACCACCATGTATTTTTTCTTACTTTTATTCATGTTTCGGGTCTTTCTTGTTTGATTGGCTTTTTCAAAAGAGCTTGGCACAGTTGAATGCCATACTCAGGAGTCAAGTAATAAGTTTACATTCACTTAATAATGACTCGACAACAGGCTTTCATCACTGGACACAGTATTGTTCTACACGTTTTCCCCAACACTGAAGATTTGGCATTTGATTGAGGAATTTTGATTCAAGTACTTTTTCCAAAATCACAATGGACACTGCACAATTTTCCGCAATTTGAATGCATCATATTATGAGTCGTATCAATCCTGTAAACTGGCTTCAGCTGAATCAAATCAACTGAGCATGGTACAGATTTCATTTTTTTTAACTAAAATAAAAATACCACGGGAGAGATTTGAAAGATTTTGTTTTGGAGGAACTTTCACGTGGATGAATGATGAAAATCATTGGATGAAAATGTTCAACATTTGACCAATTTACCAAATACAGGTGAGGATACGCCGGAGTATTCTTGATGAAAGCCCGTCTGTGTTTGCCATGGCAATGCAAGGCAAGAGCAATCAACCATGTTGCACATGTAAATATAGTTATATAGGAATTGGTGAGGATGCTATATTGAAGAGTAAGAGTCCAAGATACAAATTGTCAATAATTCATAGTCTCAAGGACGTGTGGTTGCTCATCAGTGCAGTCCATTACAGCTTGACATATTTTGGTGAAGGAGGTGAACATACTGAGTTTCTAGCTTGCATTTTTATGTTATAACACAGAGACCACCCTTTGCTGTAAACGCTTTCATTTCATCATGTTGGACACGCAAAATTTCCAGCAAATTTCGAGCGGTCAAGTTGAGGCCGATTTGCCAGAGTGATGAGAAAAACCACTTGGCTGCAATCACTTTTCTCCATTCAGGTGCGCAAGGGTCAGTCTGCGATGTGCCTGGATTGGATACTATAAATCTGTCACCATGCACATACGAGAGCAAATTAAAAAGGTCTTTAAATGCTGAAATGTTATGAGAGGCTGCTTTGCTCTTGCCAGTAAGCTTGCCACCGCAGACAAACTGTGTCGAGGTCCTTTGAGGTGAACGAAGGGGACAGACACTCACCATTGGACCTCTGTATGAGTTCAGTGCTCCCGGGGAGATGTTATTGTGCAGACCCGGTGCAACGTAAGGGTTCGGCATGTCATGGTTCATACCCTGCGACGGCATGAACGGATATGGCCCTGGTGGAAACAAGACAAGACGACCATTATCTGACAGTTGATAGCAAGGCCGTTTTCCAATACTCCGTCTCAAGCTTCAACTTTTTTTTTACTAGCTGACTTTGAAGCTGTAAGTGCAGTAATTAGTCTAATAGTGCCACAAAACATCAGATAAGATGCAAGAGATTCAGAAATTACAGTAATACAATTTAATCTGAATGCTTTAGGCCCACAATCGGGGATTGGTTTTGGGAACGAAGCCTGAGACGGAGCCCAAGTCGAGTATTGGAAAAGGGCCCATTTACTGTACAGTTGATATCTGTTTTTAGAGAAGAAGGCAATATATAGATGAAATTTCTCCGAGGTAAGGACAAGTTTTTTAAGCTGTGGCTTTGGATTAGAAAGACCAACATCCATGAGGTGGCATTTCAGCTCACATCTTTATGTTAAGCACAGGTTGGGGACCTGACCACGATAAATACAAGAAAGACTTTAGTTTTGTGGCTACGATTAAAAACCAAAAGCGGCTTATCACCATACAGAGATTTGAAACTAGAAACCGGGATGACTTACCGAGGGGTGGGACCTTTCCGACTGGCGGTTTGAGACCAGGTACACTGCTGCTGGAACCCGGTGTGGCGGCCCCGCTGCTTGTGGGTGTTTCTGACTTGGGCACGGGAGATGGCAGCTTGTCATTCTGCAACAGGTCAAGATATTGTCGGAAAAAAAAAATACAACACCAGGGAGACCAAGCATGGGGCCAGGTTGAGCACTCATTTACCATCCCGGGTCAAGAGATGCAAGACGGGATAAAGTTATTTGCCCATAGTCACAACATGTGACCAGCTGGTCTGATTTGAACCCCTGACTTCAAGACATACAGTGAAAAAACCCTTAATACTAGGCCGAGCAAGATACAGGAAAACTTTTCACAATCCATGTCCGTTGACAGAAATTTACATCTAAACCATGTGTTGACAACTGAACGTATTCTGACTTCTGAAGTTTTGGACAGTTATGTCCGTGCTCAAACTCAAGAGATTTACTCTTTGGATACCAACCTCTTTGACCTTGGAGTTGGGCGTGCTGGCGCTCGACGCAATGCTGTTGGGTGTACTGGAGCGTTCCTTCTTTGGCCGATGCTTCTCTGTGTTGTTCTCGCGGGGGGACACTCTCTCACCATTTGCAGTCGGGGAAACAGGATCCTGCAGGATAACACCAGGAGGAACTATGTCTTGAGAGAACTTACAGAAATGGATTAAGTATTGCTACCAATTTCCTTCAAACTTTTACAAGCCATACAAAATGAGATGAATCAGACCAGGAATGATATTCCACAATGTTCAACTTAATATGTCTTTTTAAATCCAAATTGAACTTTTATTTTAAAACTGTCACTTTGTGATTTACAACAGCAACAAGGTACATGATCTAAGACATTTTCAGTCGTTTTTGTTGAGTGCAGTGGACATCCATTTACTTCAGAGTTAAATATACCGGTAACAGAGCAACAATCACAGGTAGGTTTTATTTCACACAGCATAAAATTTTGTGCGGCCAAAAATCAGGCATTCAACATCAAATGTTAATTCCAAATTTTAACGGAAAACATTTTTTACAACTTGGTGGAGAATGCGTTAGAATATACTTGTATCATCCAGTGTGAATGGTAAGCAGAATCTGGGCTGAGCACTCCGCTGGCAGCCAGTATGGTGACTACAGTGCCAAGGTAGGCTCAGTCCGGACTAATTGGCTATGGCTGTACAATAACATGCCAGCCTATGGAAGCTGCTGGCTCCAGCATTTCCCCTATAGACAAGGCTGTTACTGCCAGCCGCAGCCAGGCAGTTTGGCTGGGGCCTCAGTTTTAACCCTCCATACCTCATTAGACACATCCACCACGAGGTTATCGTCGCTCTTTTCTGCTTCACTGTCCTGAGGAGAGGAAGGCAAAAAAAGCAGCTCAGTCTCTGGATAATTCTTCATATATTCCTGTGGCTCATCAGCCTTTTAAGGCTTAGTTTGGATTTACAAAGCTCTACAACAGTCACCCTCTAACTGACTTGCATTAAGTGTGTAATGAAGTAGTGCTGAGAGAATGTCGATATAATACAAATCTTTTTCTCAGTTCAAAATTTTATTTCATCCTTTAAGTGGCAAACAACTGAACTCTCCACTCACAAAAAGACCACCCGCAAATCCTTCATGATGGCTATGACCATCTACATTTATTGTACAAAACAGTTTTTAGGGGGCTTATCATGTGATATGGTAGTCAGTGGTAAGTCAGGATAAAACCCTGGCAGTTTTTATCTTTGTGATTAGAAGCCTTAGCTTTGGGTTGAATGTGAAAGCTTCCTGCTGTGAAGCTGGCCAAATGCCCACTCAAAAGTTCAGCTCCCATCAACTTTACAAGGGTGCTCAGTGATGACTCTGGCAAAGTGTTATCTAGGAGAGGGGGGAGGGTTATGGCTGCCTTTGTAGATCAGGCAGGCAAAGCCCCCCTTTTTATCACTGGCAGGAAATTGGTTGTGACAGCAGGGTATGGAAAAAGTCAAGCTTTGTGTGGGGAGCCTGGGATAAATGGAGGCCTGAATTGACAGGGAAGGTTTGAATGAAAAGACTGGAGGAAGGACACCGCAGATGACCCCTTGAGATAAAGTTGCCAGCTGATATGAAGGTGCAAGCTGATTGGCTGACTTCTTAGTTAATATGGATAATGTGGATTGATGACAGCAGGGGTTACTCATGCGACCCACAATGGAGCAGAGTGAGTTATCATATTTTATTTCTCAGAATTATTTCTCAGAAAGTGAAATACAAACAAACCAGTAAACTCTCCAGAAGGTCCCCCCCATCTTCAAAATGTACTTTGCGCTGGGGACGTGCAGGGCTCGCAGAATCGGTAGTCCGACGTCCCGGGACAACCAAAATATTTTGCTGGGTGACCAAATGTTCCAGGCTGTCAGCCCGACAGGCAAGCACTTGTTTTTGGCAACACATTTTTGCCCGGCGTTTTGGACATTTCAGCACCGTGCACCGAAAAAAGATTGCAAAAAAGTCGACAAAAATCGACGTCCTAACCTGAATCGTTGGCATGAACAATGCAGCCGTGTCTGCATTCAGCCGTTTTCCTTGTTCCGGATCAGTCAAACTATATTCAGTCATATTACAGCTCAATTTATCATCAAATTCAAATGAAACGGGGTCAGAGGTCTACCTTGTACATGTACATTTTTAAATTTTGAGCTTTTAATTTGTCAAGATCGACATAGGTGACGACAACACTTTTCCTTGACAAGTTCTGGATCGGTTTAGCCAGTTCTGGATCACTTCAAAAATTTCTTTAAATATAAAAAGTCAAGTATAAACCCATATCTCTGCCAAAACCATTGTAACAAGCATATTTTTATTGTAAAGCAAGTCTTATTTTAAAGGGAATTAGTTCATATTTTAGAATTTAAGTGGATCAACAAGGATAGCCTGCACAAATGTTGACTTGACTTTTGCTGCTCAGCAAGCCGTCGACCACAAATCCCCCCACGCCGCTAAGTTGACGAACCCATTACCTCATGCACCGATCTTTTACGCACTTGTAGTTGAGTTCATGACATTCGTACATAATTATGTACTTGCATGTGCGATCCGAAACTAGAAAAAACATTTGTGGAATCTTGCGTAGCGAGTGATTTACCGACCTGTAATTTATTCCGGTGTTGATTTTTTGTGCTTCCGTGATTTTTGACAAACCGTCGACAAACATCGAAGCGCAAATGGGAAATTTAGCCAGAATTACTTTTCTTAAAATTTTCTGGGAGTAACATTTTCACTGCAAGACTTTTATTTTACCTTTCAAACAAAAAGTCATCTTGGCATGTATTCTGCAGAGCAATAGCAAAAAGGTGGGTAGGCCTATATATTTCAAGTGACCAGCAACTAAGAAATTGACTGTAATTACTGAAAGCTTGGAGACCATGCGTGGATAAAACTTCCTCGTCGGGCAACTGAAAATGAAGTCCAGGCAACACGATTTTAGACTCCCCTGCCCGAAGGGCAACTACATTTTTAAAAATTTCGCGCCCCCTGACGTGCATTTTTCTGACAATAATGAATTTTTTTGGGAAATAATGCACTTTTTCGGCGGGGTGTTTTGGACCATGCGGGTGGTGGACGCAAATGTAAAATTTTCATTCTCATGGGCTGACTATACATACAGCTATACATATTCAAATACAGAGGATCAAAATTTGTTTCCTTTACTTACTCCCGATTCCTTCTCCTCTCTCTTTCTTTTCGTGTTTTTGGAGCTGGTTTCACCATGGTCTGAAGTGGTACGGTACTTGTCTGATGAGCTCCTGTCTGGTGGTGATACTGAATTCTGTGACAAAGGAAAAAAAAATCTTCAAACTTGTTGATAAATTAAACAAGGAGAGAAAGAAAGAAAACTCCCAAAAACCAAAAAACACAAAACTAAAAACGGGAAACAAACGATAAAAAAAAAAAAAACTAAACTAAAAACATGACAAAAAATTCAGATAAGAACTCCCGACCCTTGTCAGAATGTGGCTGAATACAATCAACCTGGCTTAAACCTATAAATAATGTGTGCATCATTAACACAGTGGTTTCTTTCTGTTGGTTAATTATTGACATGTACCTCCATCTATCACATCTTAATATGCATGTGTAATATTGATTTTTGTGTGGGATCCTACCAACAACGGCCAAATTTGGCTATCACTTTTTGGCTCTCACCATACTGGACCACCTGTCCGCCCAATCCATAATCTATCACTTTCATGTTTGGGCAGCTTTCCCCTCACTCATTAAACAGTGTCCTTTTGTGCTACCCATGCATCACAACAATAACACTACAATGTTATTGAGGCTAACCAAATAGTGCACAGTCTGTGTACTGCCCTCTGCTGGCACTAAACACCACCAATTGCTGGAGCAGTCAAGCATGGGACACCTATTTACACAAATTCAAAAAGATTGAAGAATCACAAGGGTTTACAATGTCAGAAATTTAAATCCCAGAATTCATCTGTGCTAATGTTTGATCTACATGTAGATGAGCAGTCATGGTGTCTAACTGAAACCAATTTTGAACAGTTTATCATGGTTTCTCCAAAGACAAATAAACTGATCCTTCCAGTGGAAAGAAAGTTCCCCTCAAACCATCTTTAACTCACACAGGTACTTCCTAACCTGCAATGACACCATTCAGGTCTAATAACTTGTGGATATGGTGGCACAGCATCGGTAATTTAAGAGCTAAAGGCTGCAGTAACCCAATTCAACTCGACATAATTGAGTAATAAGCTCCCAATCTCAGACTCACAGTCTCTAATGACATACCCCGTCAGTGTTCTCTGGGGGATGGGGGGGGGAGGAGATTGGCTTCTGAAAAGCCCCGCCCTGTGGGGCATTAGTCTGTAAAGATCACCAGTGAACCGGTGATGACTGATCCCCCAACAGAATAAACTCATGCCTTTTGTGTGCGCTGGTCGCTCAATCACTCTGGTGTACAACAGGAACCTGGCCCTGGAAAGCTGTCAACAACTGTTTACTCTACATCTTTGGGTCCTTCAACAACAACCACACAAACATCCCTGGCCTGAATAAACTGGAAAGCCTAAACCTCCTGCAAACAACCCCCCTCCCAAAAGAGGAAAGATGAAGCACAGACAGAGCAAAAAGGAAACACGCTAAACTCACACTTCATATAATCCTGCAAATAGAGAATGTAACCCCTAGCAAATACTCCACTCTGAATTTACTGCAGGTTGCCAGTGAATGGAGCCAGGACAAACAAGGGCCATAATGACAGTCTGTTAAAAGTGTTTATCCAGTACTTCTTGGTCAATAGTGAAGGGTAGGCTTAAGGAGAATGGCACAGCTGCAATCCTCCCATTCAAGTGGCCAGCTAGGTCCTCTCCAAGTTTTGAAGAGCAAATAAGACAGGACAGACAACAGCTTACACTGCTCAATGAGTGACCCTTGTGTCTTCCTGTCCGGTTGGCATACTCAATCACCGGCAAGTGGAATATATTACCTCTTCCCCCCCCCACCTCAAATGTGCATGTACGTGTCATGTGTCCACGCATACTTGCCACACACTGCTACAGGATTATTTTTTTTTTTTGAACATGCAAACAGACCACCTTTCAACGCAGCACGAAACGAGTCATGCGTAAATGTCAGGGCGTCATTAAGGTAGGAAACAATGATCGATGATTGTCGTGATGAATTATTCATGCCGCAAGCCAGGGACGGGTATCCATCCCGACCAGCTAAAGAGCACTTCCTTGCACATACATAAACTTCACCGGTTGACTCAGTCCAATTAAATCTGTATTCGATGCTCGCAATTCATTTTGTCTTCCCCGCTCCCCCCCCCAAAGCTCTGCCGGGCCACTGATGAAAATTCAGCGGTAAATATCTGCGGATTATGTACACAGCGTAGCCGCAGGGGGACAAGGGGAGAGAAAGTAGGGGGGGGGAAGAATTGCCGGTCAGTGAAGGAGGAACGCTTGCTTGTAGGGACCCGACTGTGCATATTCATTTGGGTTACCCACTCTCTCAGACTTGCAGAATTCATCCCGTTTGTAATATGATCGTGTACTTGTGTTGCTCCATGGCGACGGCGGGGCCATACGCTGACAGGCACACGCTGAATGACTAACGCCAGTGCAAACACAGCGGGACCGCACGCGGCGGAGGAGTAGCGACACCCCAATTGAAAATGCCAACGAAATTTGCCCAGGCACTTGTCCGGAACACTCGGCGATGCTTCAGACGGAGTTAAATCACTGAGCCACACGGCTTCTTTCCACACAAAAAAAAGGGACCCAAAAAATGGCAAGTGGAAGGGGAGGGGGGGGTTGGCATCCCTTCTCTCTATTTGCTACGTCAATACACAATTAAACCTACTTTGCCTTCAATGACAGTATTGAAGGGGGGGTTCTTGGGAGAAACACAGTTCAATAAAATGCAATGTGCACACAAGACCTTGGACAAACATAAGTCGGTGTCTGCACTGGCTCACAATGCAAACACTCCACCGTGAGCGGGGGCTTGTGCTCCAATAAGGCAGGTAACGTGCGGTGAGCCGCTGTCATCCAACGTGAATGTGCAATCGCATCACGGTGCAAGCTGGGGCCACAGCAAACACCAAGCACTATCTATTGGCTGTGGTGACACAACACTGACAAATGCAACCAGCTGCATGCTGTGTCCACAAAGCCTAACCCAAACCAACTCTCTTTTCTCGTTTGCATTTTTTTTCTAGATAATTGAGCTCATAGCTTAAATTAACCTCTGGTAATTAGTCTTTAGCTTGTTCCACTTATCACTGGAAAAGTTACTGTTGTAATACTGAAGTACTATATAATGGACACAATTAATAATTTTTGATGCAGTAATTAAAAACTGCTGACATTTTCATTGCATTTGCAACAAAATTATGCAAATAAAATACCTGTAATACACCCTAGGCGGTTAGGGTTAACATCAAAAAGTAATGTCTATGAAAGCAATTTGTCAACATGTTAACATTCACTTTAAAAAACTTCAGTTGATTGCGAGCTCCATAACTGCTTATATCTCACAATGGCCATAAAGAGTGGTTTCACTTTGTAATGAATGTTGACAAATGAATAACAGATGTTGCTTGAGAGTTGATTAGCTGTCTTTTATAAACTCCACATTTACATTTTATGTAATAATTGACAAATGTGTACATGAAAAGAAATTTTTCAATGAAACTGGAAAACATACATGTGAACTTAATCAGCAACTTTTCACTGAGAAAAGAATTTGGATGACTCATGGTTGTATTAAGAAATTCTCTGACCCATAAACCCGATCCAGGATCCTGGATAAGCATACAGGTCTACTCTCTTAGTAACATGTTCCTTGGGCCTAATCGAAAGCAGTCACTCAAAATGGCTGAAATGAATACGTTGCCCTGTCACCGAATTAATTTGCCGTGCAAGGTCCGATGTCGGCCCGGGCCCAACAGACAGACAATATGTTTGCCGATCTGCCAGGCAAATGTTTAGAGAACGCTGGTTTAATTCCAAACCCATTTGCCTGGGCAAATATTGACCCTGGCGTTTAAATATGGCAAAGTATGAAGCTGTATCGTGTTTGACTAGTATAACTGTTGTGCCGAGTAAGTGCACTGCTGACAAGGTCTCCACACTACACCACCTCCTCATATTTAATTCACCTGTATATAACTGAATCTTTCAAAGATCATGGTGCCAATTTCATACATCTTTCTACCTGACAAATACCCAACCCAATAAATCATGTCCAAATTGTCCAGCATTTTCAAAAAAGGGCAGAGGTGCCTGATATTCACAAAAGAGAGATGCCTGAAATGGGGGTTAACATGGATGTACGATTATAGCATTTCTTTCCATCTCATTTAATAAACACTTAAAACACAACGGACAAAGGAAGAGGTATCTCCCTGTCCCCCAACGAAAATGGGAAGGGGGCACATTGGTTGCACCTCCTACCCCTCTGGATCCACTACTGATGTAGGAGCTGCCTGTGTTTATTTTCCGAAGAATTTACCGAGCCGATGGGAAAATGAAAACGGGCAAATTTTACCACCGTCCGCACTTGGACTTTCGACGAGGGGATTTTTACCGAGACGCGTGGGAAAAGTAATCAAGCTGTCACTATAATGGCACATGAGGGCGCTTTGCATGACCTTTCGTGTTCACCCTTTGACCCACGCACGTGCGCACCTTTTACAAACTTCCGGTCGTGACAGTTCTTCCAATGATACATTGGTGGGCCTAATTAAACTTCGGATTGTTTCAGTAATAATATCTGCGATCAGTCGAGAGACTCGAGAACACGAAATCACTGCACAGCAACTAAAATTAAGCTTCGTGGCGCGTACTTGTATGTACATGTACGTCACATGGACGCTTGCAACACACATGCTCTGGGTTCATGTGAGCCTGACCTTGCCAGTAAACCGGATGTAGGCTTCCCTGAGCCGCTTTTACCGACTCGCACTGTCCACGCTGGACTTTCTGTCTTGGGAAAAGTGTCTCGGGGATTCTTCCTGGCCAGAAGTTAAAATTCCCGCGTGGCTTGGGAAAAGTAACTGAGAGGAAGTCTTCCAGGGATGTACGCACTGGATTTAAAATGGGCAAAGTACCCATCGTCTCAGTAAGTTTGCCCCCCAAAGGTACAGTGCGAACAGGGCTTTATAGAATAAATATGGACAACATAACTTTCTAGGGAAAGAATCCTGTTACTTTAATGACCAATATGAAGTCACCCAAATTCTTGAACCGCCTTGGGCACACCCGTACCCAGTCCCTACAATCTACAGCGCATCCACCGACA